CCAGCCACCTCAGTGCTGTGACCGCAGCTGGACGAGCGCAGCCAGCAGACAGGGTCCCTGCTATATCAGCATGGGTCTTCCCCCTCTAACAGTTGCTCAGCGTGTCTTGGCAACAGCTAAAATTATTATATTACACATGACTTACAGATTTTTATTTTTAAGTTTGACTAAAAATAAAAACGCCGAGCTCATATCTGCGCAGTCATCCTTGGTTAACTTTAGCTCACTGTAACCTTCTGCCCTGGGCAGTTGGTTTTGGCAGGTAGGTCAGCAGCTCCTGGCCAAGCAGCTGCCTGGGGATGCCGTGGGAGGATGCCCTCAACGTGGGGCGCTCGTCCTGCTCCCCTTGCCACAGAGAGGTTGCGCGGGGCTGGGACCATCCTTTGATTTCTCATGGAGATGGAGATGAGCTGCAAATCCAGAATTTAAATGTACTCCCACAGGGGAAAGCTGGGAGTGGAGGGCTAGGGAGTGGAGCACCTCCCTTATGAGGAAAGGCTGAGGGAGCTGGGGCTCTTTAGCTTGGAGGAGACTGAGGAGAGACCTCATTAATGTTTATAAATATGTTAAGGGTGAATGTCATGAGGATGGAGCCAGGCTCTTCTCAGTGATGCCCAATGGCAGGACAAGGGGCAATGGGTGTGAGCTGGAACACAGGAGGTTCCGCTTAAACTTGAGAAGAAACTTCTTTACAGTGAGGGTGACAGAGCCCTGGGACAGGCTGCCCAGGGAGGGTGTGGAGTCTCCTTCTCTGGAGACATTCAAAACCTGCCTGGACACCTTCCTGTGTGATCTCATTTAGGTTCCTGCTCTGGCAGGATGATCTTTCGAGGTCCCTTCCAATCCCTGACATTCTGTGATTCTGTGATTCTGTGGTTGGACCCCTCTGCCTGCAACAGAGCAGGGAGCTTGTACATGGGACCTAATAGGACCACTCTCTTTTGCTGTGATGGGCAAACCAGGCTCCCCCACACTAGTTGTTCCAAAAGCCTGAGGTGTCTGGTTGAGCTTCCCCACATCAAAAATACTACCATAAAGCTGTATGAAACCTGTGAAGATTCATACTCTGCAAGAGCTGAAGCAAAGGTTTTGCTCTGCTAAATAGCATTGAATCACCGAGTTTTGGGTAGCCTCCAAAGTAAAAGCTAACATCCTTCGAAAATACTAAATCTTTCAGGGTTTGGGGGTTTTTTTGTGTGTGTGTAAATCTTTCATATGGCTGACTTCATCATCACTGACAACAAAAGGGCTGCCCAAAAATCTCCTGGAGAGCACAGGAGGAATGAACAAGCTTAACGGAGACAAGGGATGAGACAGTCGCAGAGCAGTGAACACTGCCCCACTTTTCCAAGCTCAAGTGCTTCACAGTGAGACTTTGAACTCTACCAAACACAGGACTGGATTTGCAGAAATGCAAATACGCAGCATAAACCAGCCTACTTCAACTTCAAGACTTAAAAGTAAAATGGTAAGTTTTCAGCATAATTCAAGTTCCAGCAACAGCAAAGATAAAGACAGGACTGATTTTGCTCGGGAAGCAGAGAAAGGGAGACCATCCAAATGAAGCATCTCAAAGGCAAGAGGTACAAGAGCTGGTTAAACTGTTCTTTGCTGCTTGTCCTAGAAAGACAAACGCCTGTCTTCTGCAGAATGCCACACAATTTGTTAATCGTACTCCTTTTTTGTTTGGATCCAAGTCATTTCTCTGACTCTCGAGATTTCCCTTCTCTTTAACTTCAGAGCTGTCGATCATGATCTGTGAGATATGCAAACGAGCAGCAAACACCAGGTGATATTTTTTTTGCCTCGCTTTGTACGTGCGTGTGTGTGTCACACGAGTGCGTGCGTGCGTGCATGCCTGTGTAATTATGGCTGGGAAGGTAAAGGGGACAAAGAGATCAGGGACAGCAGCTGGACTTTGGTATCTCTGGCAGTGAGTACACATGGAACATTGCTAAAGTGTCTGGACAGCCAGTGTCCGCTGGCAGCCTGCCCACACTCAAATTCCTGGAAAGGCTTAAGGCAGAAAAATAATCACTTGGAAGAGTCACCATCTGGGCTTGCTCTGGTCCCAAAGGGATTGCTCACTGGAGCTCAGGATGTTTTGCTTTTTCATGCAAAACTCCAGCGTCTCTCTCTCTGCAAGGCACTAGAAACCTCGCTACCTCTCCCAAAACAGTCTTTTTCTACTTATTTCCTCTAATAAATTTAAAACTCATGAGAGGATACTGTGTTATAGCCTGAGGGGCTAATCTCCTTTATTTATCTGGTGTTCACCGCAGCAAAGGTAAAACCAGCAACACAAGCCTCAGTCCACACTGTGATCGTACACTGCGTCCCACCACCCAGGACTAAGTCTTGGGGTGCAGAGAAGTTGGGGCCTGACTCACAAACCACTGCAGCACCTGGCTGTGTAAGCACTGGGATTTTCACTGCCTTCAGAAATCAGGCACTTCCTGCAGTCCCATGATGCAGCTAACGTAATTTCTAGGTCTCTAAAACACCTTCAAAAACCTAGTCCCTCATCGTCTCTGGTCCCTGACCTTTCTGTGGCTTGCTAACAAATTCACAGCGACATTTGCCACCAGGAGCAAGGGCTGGGACCTCACGCTTGTTTGCATTATTGGATGGAGCAATCACCCAAGGCAGGCAGCTGTCAGCCTCCAACTTCAGAGATACTCAATTCAAACCAGTAGCTAATCGTCAAAAGGCTCCTTTGATCCCAAACCCCAATAACACACAGATTGTTATGACTTTTTAACTTTTACCTTCTGTCTGACCAGTATATTCTTACATTTATCCATGCAATAAAGAAACTGGGTCCTCCCTCTGTCAGACACTGTTGCCCTCTGTGACAAGTAGACATCAGTGCAATATTCAAAGAGTACACTGAAAA